GGATTCGTCCTTCTCTGAGGGCGTCTCTGTCCATCTGGACTCGTCCTGCAATGCAGGTTCTTCTTCTCTGATTCTAATCAGAAACAGGAAAACTCCTTTATCAGGAAACACACTCTGGCAGCTGGAGGATTCTCCGTCCAGCAGATGGCAGCAGCGAGCTTCACGGTCTCTGAGGTTCACCGCTCATCGTTTTGTTTCTGCCTCTGCTTTTAGCCTCCAGCTTTAAAAAAACCAAAGAACTGTAAAATAGGTTGTGTTTCAGCCTCTTCATATGTATTTGTGGTATTTGTGAAGGAGGCCACAGATCGTGGAGACAAGGCGATCTGATAGCATCTTAATTTTCTGCATTTAAAAGCGTTTTTTGCATGTGTTTATAATATGATTAGGTCAGAGTTCCTGCTGGAACAGGAACGTTTTCATTTGAATCGTCCGATGGAAGGAAGGTAAAGTTTTACTGTCGTTTAGTTTGATGTAATTCCTGCTGATCCAGCCCCATGGTGAGGGGGGGGTGGGAGGGGGTGAGCCCGGGGGAGGATGGAGAAGAGAGGGGGGCCCAAGACCGCCCCCTGGGGGACACCCGGGAAACCTCCCAGCAGGCAAACTGCAAACTACACTCTGAAGGAAGAAATTAACAAATTGTGGAAGAAGATGGAAGCAGACAACAGATCTACTGACTTTAAGAAAGAAATTCAGTTCATATTTGATTAGACTTGTATGAAATTGTGTATTTGAATGGTTGTATCCTTTAATGACATGAATTATCACTGAAATGTGCAATAAAAAGAGGAGAATAATGATCAAATGGTGTTTTACTGGCTCTTTATTGGCTTTTTTAGAAATATAAATAGTTAATGTTAAGCTGACTTTTACCTCATTTCCTTCTACTATAAATAACAGGATTGTGTCACATTGCTTCTCCCCATTACTGGACCCAGTAGCTCAGGTTTGATTCACACCAACCAACCAACCCAACTTAATTAGGTATGAGGTCATCCTCAGATGACATGAATATGTGTGAATTTAGTCTTATTTGAATTTTGATATTTTCTTATGCATTCCACTTCTGTATCTCAATTTTACATGGTGATTAGTTTGAAATGTTGCACAAAAGCACATTTCCTCAGAACTGAAATATTATATCTGCCTCTCTGTACTAAGATCCTTCTTTGACCTTTGACCTCTTGGCCTCATAGCAGACATTATCAGACACTACTGTTTGAAATCTAAAGGAAAATAGTTTGAGACATTTTACACTAATCATGTTCTTATTGTGGAATTAAGATGTTGTAAATAAGTAATTTGGAATCACAAAGTCAGTAAATCTGTTGTCTGCTTCCACAATTTCACTACAAATAGTCAAAGTAAATTCATGTAAACATATTAGAAAATGAAATGGGTTTCCTGTGGGTGTGTGAGTGGTCAGTAATCAGTGTTACTGGCAGAAATAGACGCCCCACAATCAAACTGGGCCTCCTGGAGACTGTCTGCATTTCTGAGA